GAGCGGGTTTCTTGTGCAAGGATAATGCCACAGTTCTGACGAAAGGAATCTCCAAGTTACGTGGGACGCGGCGTGTCCAGCCACCTACATTCCCTGAAAGCTGTTTCACCAGGGCAGCAGGTGTCTGGATGCTTTCCAAGTCACACCATCGATCCGGGAGATCCAGACTCCCACCGTTTCCCTGGACATTTGATCCAGTTGGCGTCAGATCCATGTCTTCCAGGCAGGGTGGGGATAAGTCAAATTAGGTTCATTTAGGATTCAAATTAGGATTGGAAAAGGTCAGTTTACATTCCGATCCCAAAGAAGGGCAGTGCCAAAGAATGTTCAAACTACCACACCATTGCCCTCATTTCACATTCTAGCAAAGTGATGCTCAAAATCCTACAAGCTAGGCTGCAACAGCAGCACCCACAGGAACCTGGCTCCCAGTGCTGGTGCTTTCTGAGAAAGGGGTGCGGGCATTTTATAACACAAGGCCAGAGAAGCAACCTTTTCCTGCCAGGATTTATCTGGATTTTCCCAACACTTCACAGGAGAGGCACATAGCTGGGAAGGAGATCCCGCTGGAGTGTTGCGTACCTTCCAGCCCTGACCTCCAGCAGGTGTTCCTGTTGCCCTGAGAGGAACTCTTCCCAGTGTAAATGGATGCTGAAGAACTGGATGTGGAATCCCAGACCGGAGCAGGCAGACCCCCACCTCCACTTTAAAAACGAGAGGTCATTGAAAGGCAGGGTTTCCCACCCTCCGTCCACCCTTAATATTTGCTTACTAGGCGCGCAGAACCAGTGCCCCGAATCCACCTGCCTGGGCGTGATCCAGTTCGCACCAGGGTGTCCGGGTTGTGCCTGAGCAGCGCAGCCTCCTTCTGCAGTGGCGGACCAACCGGGTACGTGCGCCTCCAGGCCAAAATTCCCTCCACATCAGAAACCAGATGCCGAGCATTTGAGATGTATCCGCATCCGCGCAGTGTCTGTCTGAGGACAGCTGAGCTTTGCCTCCTGGGGGTGGGAGTGGGCGGGGTGGAGTACAGGGCCTGAGGTGGTGATTATTCCAGCTTCATTCCAACACAAAAGTGCAGTGTTGTGATTGTAAGCAGTGCGTACGCCCACAGACCTAGTCAGTGCTTTTTTTGTAAAAAAAAAAAAAAGGTGCTGGAACTCATGTCTTGGAGTCACACTTTTACACTAAAAAAGGTTTTCAATTCACCAACTTTTTTGAAATAAAGAACTTATTTACCTTTAAGCCAGTAGCCAGTGACTCTACACACACATAAACATAATGGTCGCCGCCGGCAGTAAGCACTCAGTGGGTGACCACACACACCAATCCCAAGCCGAGCAGTGTCCCAAGCTGAGCAGCGTCCTCACAATCAGCACGGACACACAAGCAGCCCGCAGGCACTATTTTAATTATTTTTGCCGCTGACCTGCTACGCCCGACAGGCAATTCAAAATCACTTCGTAAAATCCATTGGAAAAATCCGTCAAAAAACGGTGCCGGAATGCTGTTCCAGTGCGTTCTATGACAAAAAAAGCCCTGATAAATACAATTGTTGAATCACACTCCAATCATTGGCAACATATTCTGTTCAAATGGCCAAAGTACCAATGGCCTTTCTAGTCCAACCATTTGTTCACACAGTGGTTAACTCTGCTTGTGTGCTTTGGGAAGGCCACAAGCTGAGTTTCAGGCCAGCCTCCAGTCATTGCTCCAGCAACCAGTATACAAAAGCTTATTGCATATAAGACTCCCCAGTAGTTCTTGATGGCCTCAACATGGAGTATGCATGCTCCTCAAAGCCACCCTAATTCCATAGTTTTAATATGTGCTGTTTGAAAAAAGTACTTCCTTATATCTCTCATGAATCTCCCTATTCAACTTCATGGGATGACTCCAGCTCCTAATATTATGGTAGATTTAGTTTTTCTTTGGCATGCACAATTTTGTACACCTCTGTCATGTGTCTGATACTCACCATTTTTCCAAGCTAAACAGTCCCTTACATAACTTTTACTTGTAATGCGTTTGTTCCAAACCCTTACATGATGAACCTGAAATACCTCCTTAACTCTGTATCAGTCTATGTCCCCTGCACCTACTTGTGCTCAATGCCCCCACCCCTGCAAAATGATTTGGCTGAAAAGTGATGGTAACTAATAAACCTGCATTAAGGCGGCTACAAATGGATGTGGGGAAGACATGGTTTGTTTTCTGCAGCCTATAGGTCCAGAAAGCTGAAGGACTCAGCTGCTTGCTTTGGACATTTGCAAATCCGACCTGCAAGAAAGAAGCTGTTCTATAATGCTTAGACGGTTCCAAGAAAGTGTGTGATGGCAGAAACAGCACGTTTGGGAGAGAGATGTTTCTACTTATCTGAAGTTTATCAACAAGAAAGCTCGCACAGACATCATACTGGAGGGAGGGCCGGTGTCCCACCCAGGGGTGTGGTGAGCAACAGTTGAATTCTGCACACATTCCTTAGTTCTAGAAGTGATGCTGATCTTTGGTTACTGCTTTGAGCAGTGGAGGGTGTCTTGCTGTTCAAAGGGCTGTTCTCGCATGTTCTGCCTTCTGGGATACTTAGACTTGCTCAGGTCAGTATGAAACTAAAAACTAAATTAATACCCGAGATAAAAATTTCTCTTTTCTCACTATATTTGTAGACTGCTTATATGAGTGCATTGGATTACATAGAATTGTTTGTATTTTGGCATCAAATGATATAAGTGAGCTCGAGTGTGCGTGCGTATTTAATTTATTGGTATTTTAAAAAAACAAACTAAAAAACAAAAGACAAACCAGGCCAAATAGCAAAACAGCTACTTTTAAGGAAGCATACATTACAGTGAACAGTCTAGGTACATGTGTTTTGTGGGATATCACAAAACATACTCTGAAGCATTTTTCAAAATGTCTTTTGCAAGACTCCCAAAGGGGAAGCATCTGACTGATTCACTGCTATACTGCAAACAACTAGTTCACTTGGCGTGATTCCAGACAAAGTTCCATAGACCCATTACCCTGTTCCATTCACAGTCTTCTGGAGGGTTTAAGATACCACCATCTCCTACTTTAACCCACCCATGTTTTTCCATCTTTTTTCTCACACAAAAAAATACATTAAGAAAGAGCAATAGTTGCAGCACAACCGTCTAGCTGTTAGTTAGCATCAGCACCCCTTCGGTTAAAAACAACCTTGTAGCCAGATCCTAAGCATGGTCAACAAGTCTTATTGTCAAACACGTGTGCACAGGAATGCTGCATGAAAAGTACTCCCGGAAAGCGTGAAGCATTCTGTGAGTCCCATGGAACTCAGCTGCATTATAGCTGAAGGTAAGTCTAACCATTTCTATGACTAAAGCAAATGACATTTTTCTCTCACACAGTTAAGAGGTATGCGTAATTTCATGCCTGCAACCTAGCGCATATTTCTCTTCATATATACTTATATCGATACAGATTCGTGGGTGACAATTCTCAGAGGTGGTTGCCATGTTAGTCTGTAGCAGCAAAACCAACAGTGTCTTTGGCACTTTAGGGAGCAACCTAGGCATTGGGGGGCATAGGATACTTCAGATGCCCAGATCTGAGGTCAAAAACAGAGCTTTCCACTCAGAAGTGGGAAGTCACACTTTGACCCTTTGCAGCTGGCGCAGAACGAACCATGCCAGCCACCTCTCCAAGGCTGGGAAGCCAACCTCAGAGAGGAACACACATAACAGGTGTGTTCTGGTGGGCAGAAAGAAGAGGTGACTGCAGAGCCATGATACAACATGTCTTCTTCCCCCCCTTGGATGTACCCCGGCTAGATGGCCCAAAATGGCCACCGTAGAAATGCAGAGGAGAAGACACAGGGAGTCAGTGATCATCAGTGCCACTCTTCTTGCGTTGCACGGGGTGCCTGTGATCTCCCCCCCCCCCACAAACTGGAGGTTTATGGGCATCCTGAGTGCTCTCACAAGTTAATATATTTAAAATATATTAAATATGATACGAGCTTTCATGATCTAGAGTCTGCTTCAGCAGCGGCATTGTTACCCTAACTTGGTAGGTATATTCACACTCAGACAAATATTGCAATGGGAGAGGGAGGTAAATAGTGAGGCCAAAATTCCATAAAATGCAAGAACCACCCTAAATTCACAGGTTCAATTCATTCCATACTACTGAATGTGCATAGACAGATACTAGATTTATCTTCTAGCTGTTTAAAAATCATTTTAATGTTGCATTGACTTTACAATATCTGCATTGTATTTTGTTCTGCTGTTTTTATGCACCGTTGTAAATCACCCAGAGAACTTTGGCTATGGGGCAGTATAGAAATGAAATCAATTTTTTTTTTTAAATTGAGCCTCTTAGTCATTCTCTTGACTGCTACATATATTTGTCATTATTTTTATTTCTAACTCACCAAATAACTAAAATTCTCCCGACAATCTAAAATGCTATGTAACTGTTATAATGTAAAATACCATACAAATGTTTAAGAAATAAAATACAATATAAAGCAAAACTATAAACAGAAATCAATAAAATAGCCATTATAACTTTTAACTAGGTCTCTAAGGGTGCAATCTTATCCAAGATTAGATAGGATGGGGAGGGGGGAAGCCCACAGCTGGAAGTTCTAGGCCTTTTTCCCTCCAGTCTAAACATGCATTAGATTTTGCCCTAAAATTTCCTGTCCAAGATCCTGTTGTCATTTTGCTATTTTATTAGAAGCTGCTCGGAGGCAGCACTCCTGTGAGCACTAATTTAGGTGATGTACAAATCAATAGGTATAACTGATTAAATCATGCAATCATTGATACATAGCTAGGCCAGAGAAAAACCCTCTTTTCTAGGAATTAGCATGTGTGCATCCTTGAAATGCAGCTGACACTGACTAGGCATCAGTCCAGGGAAAGCTCATTGGCACTTGACAGATAACAGCAGCTCAAAAAAGGGTCAATTCACACCCTTTTTTTTTAATTCAATTCAATTGGGTCAATTCACACCCAATGTTTTACCCTGCAACTCCCATCAGCCACAACACCATGGGCAAGGGTTAGGACTGCGAGTTGTAGGCTAAAACATGTAAGTAGGCACGACTCCACTCTCTTGCACACACAACCTGGCGGAACCTCAACTCAGGGGATCGGGGGCCTATCCGGAATGCAATTAGGGAAGGACGGCACGGACCGTTCTGAGGCATGGACCGCGTCTCTTAGCAACCGACCTGTAGCTCCCGGAAGTGGTTTGAATGTCAAGAGAAGCGGGCTCGTCTGTTCGATCTCTCTGGGAGGCGCCTGTTGGAAGCGGTAGTGAGAGGGGGTAAGTGCTGAGGGGAAAACGGTAGTGAATATTTGAGTTTGGAAAGGAAAGGCGTATTTAAAAAAAAACTTAACGCGGATGGGCTTTGTAGATTTGAGCGTGGGGAAAGGATCGGGACTAGGGTTGCCAACTTTATTTATTTATTTTTATTATTTATTAAAACATTTTTATGCCGCCCCATTCGCCGAAGCCTCGGGGCGGCTTACAACACTTTGAAGTTGGCTCCTGTATCTGTGTGGTTTAGAGCTGTTGGATATGCTGCTGTTAACTGATGTTATATGTATCTACATGGTGCTGCTAATTGCTGCAAACCGAACAGCTGTGAAATGAATAGGAGCGGACCGGGCTGCCTTCCCCTGGTCAGTTTGCAACCGTAATTGCACTCCAAAAAAAGGTGTGACAGATGTGAAAACAAGCGGAATACATTGTGAATATAGGTATGAGAAACTTGACATGCAGTTCTGTTCTATCTTTTTTTCCTCCCAAGGAACTTAAGGCAACTTGCATACTTCCCCTCCTTTCAATCTCTTTCACACAACAACAACCCTGTGGGGTAGATAGGGCCAAGAACGTGTAACTGGCCCAAAGTCACCAAGTTAGCTACATGTTCAAGTGGAGACTAGAACCCAGATCACATGATTCCCTGTCTCACACTCTTAACCACTCACTGGCTGTTAGACAAATTAATATTTTTATTTCTTACAAGTGTTGTCTACAAAGCTCAGGAAGTAGTTCATAGAATAGAAGAGTTGGAAGGGGCCACGAAGGCCATCGAGTTCAACCCCCTGCTGTTGCAGGACACCAAGTCAGGTGGCTGTCCAGGCTCTTTTTGAATGTCTAGTGTGGGAGAGCCCATGACCTCTCCAGGCAGCTGGTTGCACTGTTGTATTGCTCTGACAGTGAGGAAGCTTTTCTGATGTCCAGCCTGAATCTGGGTTGCCGCAACTTGAATTGATTATTCCGGGCCGTACACTCTGGCATTAGCAAGAAGAGATCTTGACTCTCCTCTTTGTGACAGCCTGGATAGAGGGATATTATGGCCCCCCTCAGCCTTCTCCTCTCAAGGCTGAAGATGTCCAGTTCCCTCAGTCTTTCCTCAAAGGGCAGTGTTTCCAAACTCTGGGTCATTCCTGTTGCCCTCCTCTGGGCCCTTTCTAATTTACCTGCATCTTTCCTAAATTTTGGTGCCCAGAACTGGATACAGTATTCCAGGTGAGGTCTGACTAGTGAGGAGTATAGAGGAACTATTACTTTTTGTGATTTGGAAGTAATACTTCTGTTAATGCATCCCAAAATAGCATTTGCCCTTTTTGTGGCTGCATCACATTGTTGGCTCATGTTTAGCCCAATTATTCCAAGATCTTTTTCTTGTTCAGTTCTGTTGAGCCATGTATTCTCCATCTTGTATCAATGTCTTTGGTTTCTTTTTCCTAGGTGGAGGACTTGGCATTTGTCATTATTGAATTTCATTCTGTTGGTTTCAGCCCAGTGTTCAAGTTTATCAAGATTGCTCTGGATCTTCATACTGTCTTCTAGGGTGTTTGCTATTCCACCCAGTTTTGTATAATCTGCAGATTTGATTGTCTTTCCTTGTACTTCCTCATCTAAATCATTAATAAAATGTTGAAGTGCACTGGGCCCAGGACTGAACCCTGAGGAAGCCCACTAGTTACCTCCATCCAATTTGAGATGGTGCCATTGATAAGCACTTATTATATATCCTACTTTAAGGAGCATGAGTCAGCATAGCTAGACCCCTTGTGCATTTTATTCTCTCATCATTTGTAAAATATGTTAGGCTGAGAATGTGTTACTGCTTCAAGGTCATTCAATCATTATTATTACTGTTGTCATAAATGTTGCCACCTTTCATCATGATTAATTTGTATTTGGATAACTACTTTCCATAGTGGTGATTTTTTTGCTCACCTGGAATATAGGCTTTATATTCTTTTTAGTGCCAGAACCTTTTTATTTAGCCATTATTTTAAGGATTAAAGAATTTTAACTGGTTTTAGTATTTACAGTTGCATGTTATTTTTGTTGGTATTATGTATGTTGTTTACTTGGTCTGTTTATTTATTGTTTTAATTATTGTAAGCCGTACTGGGACAATTTTCATATAGGATGGGGTAGAAATATTTTAAATAAATAAATATGCCAGTAGTTGGTTGGAGTTCTATGTTTAATAAGTCACTGTCCTTACCCGTTCAGTTTGAAAGGGGCAGCTAAGCTCCGGGTGCCATCTTCCCATGAAGTGAAACCTATTAAGGTAAGATTAGAATTGTCTTGGCTGTTGGAGACTAAATTAGTGACTTTCATCCTCAAAAAAGCCCAACAAAATTTATCCTTGTATTAATTTATGCAGTTGGTAGAAACTTTGACTTTTTAAGTCGGGATTTATAATTATATTTTATGGATTGGTGTATATTCTGGGACTCTTTAAATGTTATTATGGTTCTGGACTTTATCTGTTTTGTAATGTAGACTAAGCATTTCTGGGTTTTTGTTTTGTATTTAGAAAATAATAATGGGTAAAGCATGCAAAACAGGTAATGGCAAAATTAGATACACACAAGCTGGAAGGTTTATTTTCTATTAAGGAAGGGACCCTTTTAGGCTGAAGATAGGTAGTATTTTAAGAGAGCTGAATGCTATATAAGGGTGGTATTTGTTGTGATGTAATTTTTTCCACCCTGTCATCTCTGATCTAACAGCCTTTGTAACTGTTCGAAGCAGTACAAACCTGCAAAATTGGTGAACAGAAATAACAATATTAGACCCCCTTCAATTGAAATGTCTGTCATGTTTCTCTTGCCTTGCCAATAAGGAGACTTTCTGACCATCACCATCACCTACATTCTGTATACTCTCAGAAACATATCCTGATGCTGCTTGCAGTGTGTGCTAGACTCTCTGAATAGACTCTGTTTTCTGACTTTTACCTGAGAAAAGTGTACTATGCCCACTATTTTTTCAATCTTGTTTGCTTTCTTTTTCCAGATTGTCTTGTTATTTTGCCAGTCTTCTATCTTTTGAAGTTGTGAGGAGCAAAATGCACATTACAAGCTAAACATAAGATTTACAACTCCTTATTTCATTATTGGCAAAAGGAGAAGGAGATGGCAGAGGGTGAGGTGGCTAGATGGAGTCACTGGGGCAGTGGGTGTGGGCTTGGATGGACTCCAAGGGATGGTGGAGGACAGGAGAGTCTGGAGGAATGTTGTCCATGAGGTCATGATGGGTCGGGCACAACTTTGCAACTAAACAAAACAATTTTGCTTTTGGTCATAAAAAACCTGTCTTGGGGATTGGTATTCAACCTGTCCTGGAAGAGGTTGCTCTCTTCTTGAAAAGTCATATTCATGGCTTAAGAGTACATCTTAATTCAGTGATGTCCCTAGATTTTCAGATGATAGTAGTGACAATAAGTGTGTTTGCACAGCTATGTTTAAGGTGCAACCTTTGGCAAGTTGAGACAGAAAACATCCTACAATTCCCACTGCTGGCTAAGGAATACCCAGTGTTGTAGGATTTTTCTGTCTAAACCTGCACAAAATGGTGCCAGCTATGACCATTCCTGAATCAGTCCAATCTGACAACAGTTATCCCTGCCCTAGATACATTTATTTAGACTACTACCTGGGGTTTCCATTATGAAGTGTCCAGAAGATTCGTTTTGTGCAAAATGTGCCAGCTAGGCTGCTAATCAGGGCACATTATTGAGATCATACTGTGGGTTTGTTGAAAGATCTGCACTGGATGCCAAAAAAAGTTCAGTTTCAATTCAGGCTGTTGGCCTTAGCTTCTAAGAGTGCAATTGCATGAACATTTAGGCAGTAATGTTTAGGGCATGTCTTTCAGAGGGTATTTCTGCCTTGTTAAGATGCTCAGGAGACATCTGTTTGAGGACACCCCCTCTCAAAGGAGCCTTTTTGTCACTCCTAGAACCTTTTGGAAAGGTTCCTCTTTCCTCTTTAATATGACCATTTAATTTATGAGTGTTATGATTATCATCATTCTATTACATTTATACTCTGCCTTTCTTCCTCTTGCAAGGAATACAAGGTGGCTTACAAGGTTATCCTTATCTCCATTTTATCCTTACAACAACAGCCTTGTGTGATAAGCTCGTGTGAGAGTCTGTGAGTAGCACAATGTCACCCAGTGAACTTTATAGCGAAGTGGAGACTGGAACTGGATCTCCTGATTTCCAGTCCAATACTGTAACCATTATACCACACTGGCTCTCAGTGTAATGTTGTTTTGATAGTTTGATATGGTTTTGTTGCTTTTATGTGTTTATTATTAGGATTGTTATACAGCTCAGAGGCAGAATATAAATATTATTAATAAATACAATTTATAAGAATTCAGTGCTTATAAAATGAAAGGCCTGGAGAAGAATTAGCCCTTGGTACCAGTAACTGCACTCATCCTCCTCATTAAAAGAAGCAGGATGTGTTCCAAACAGACATCACTTTTCTGCCTCAAGGAACTGGGAATTCATCCATGAACAAACATTGCCTCTTGCAGCAGCATATGACAGGCTGGTGTTTTCTCTGAGTAAATCAGCCAGGACATGAAGGCATCCCCAATGCAAATGAACTGTATCTTTTCCCTGGTAACACTTCAGAATGCTGGATAGTATGTATGTACTTTATTTAAGAGAAATGGGTTCAGCAGTGAGATCCCTGTTCTTTGTATTCCTCTTTTTATATGTATGTCATAAACAGGCAGTAAGGTTTCCTTTCCAGTCACTGGGCCCATCACAGAAGATACAGCCTGAGGGGAGTTTGGAGTTTTTCACATGGTATCCCTGGTGCAATGCTGAAGGAAAGAGGAGGACAATGATTGCCTGATGTTAACTCTGGGATTGCCTCCTCCTTACTGGAATGATGTTTCTGTTTGATACTTCTGAGTTAATTAAATGGACAGCGTCAGTTAGTTCCACAATCAACATTTCATTCTGCTTATAAAAACTGAGAGTTTGGTGTCACCTTTGGGTATCAGAGTGATTTTTTTTTAACCCAGCAAATAATGTTGGTGCTTTCCATCCAAGGCTTCTGCAGTGCTTTATAGAAACGTACTGGCCTTGATGTTGTGACTCTAGCACAGAACTTTAAAAAGTGAACTATTTCCTAATATGCGTATAAGCACTACAAAATGGTTCACCTGCTTGCGTTGTCTCAGGCTGGCATTAAAAGCATGAGAGTGGAGCCACTGAACCTATTTATAGGCAGCTTTTTAAACTATACTGATGTGAGCTAAACATACCCAGCAATTTCAGCCATTTCTCATAGAATTTTAGGATTGCTCTTAAGCCTTTGTGCTTTTTGAAAAAACTTGATGACCTACTCATCATTCTTTTGCCATCTTAAAAGGACACTAGCACCATCTCCTATTTAAACTGGCTGTTGTTAGAGCTTATCTCAACATTAGAATGCTAATGACTTGCACTTGAATTTGGATTCATAAGTATCTCAGTGTTATGTTTTTGTATTTTATTTCTAGATTTTACAGTTTTCAAGCTTTCTATCATGGTGCTTAAGGTCTTCTTCCCTGTTTGCTGCTCCTCAGCTGAAAGTGGCCTTCTGGTTGGGCAGTGGATTCCAGAACAAAACTCTGCTGTTGTCCTGGCCGTGGTTCACTTCCCCTTCATTCCTGGTCAGGTGAAGCAGTATCTCTTTGAAATGCAGCATGCAACACAGGTCCAGCTGTCTGTGTTGGGCTCCTGGATTAACAGCAAACAAGCAAAGGAAGAGAGTTTGGAAAGGTTCCTTGAAGACCTTGGCTCAATCTTCTCACATAATCCCTGGATCCAACTCAGCAAGGAGAAAGGCAGCAAGTTTTGGAGCTGTTTTGCCACTTGGGATCAGTCTGATAGTAATGAGAAAAATGAAATCATCTTGGTTTATTACGATCAACGCAAAGTTATGCTTTCACAGCTACACCCTCCACAAGACCAAGCTGAGTCTTCTGATCAGAAGATAACAGATGCTTCCAAACTAGTTGCTGTGTTTGACACAGTTTCAAAGAGCAAGTTACTGTACATGAAGGACAGGTATGATGAGGGACCAATCAAACTCACACATTGGCAGTCAGATGGAGTAGAAGCCAGTATTATTGTGGAATTGCTGAAACAGGCCTCTGTACCTGCATGTATGCTGATAACATTCTTACTTTCACTTATCTCTGGAGTCTGTAAAAGCAGGTATGTCATATGGAATGGGTCGCCTTTATTCAGTCCTTAAAGCAAAATTAAACTTAGAACAATGTAATTATGAGTGCTCAACTGTAAGCCAGGTTTTATTTTTTTCAGTTTAGGAATTTGTCATACTCAGATACGCAAAAAAAAAAAAAAAAAAATCTGAGCCAATCAATCTGGTGTACTGGTTGTCAAGCTTTCTGCCTTTGGAGAAATATTTTCATGTAGACATTTGCCAAAATCCACTGCACATTGCAGAATATTCTGTGACATATTTTAAATACAGGTTGTTTACTTGAGAATCCTGTGTGAGCTAAGGCTGCTTTCTTGAATAGACCCACTGTTCCTTGGTGGTTGAACTACTCTTTGTGGGTTTCTTTCAGGGAAGCTTATCCACCATTATCTGACCACTCATTTAGAGTTCTCTAGTTCAAGCCATTGTGCTAAATTTCTATTCAAGCCCTAACATATAGCCATCATCCATTGGGATATTTTGATTGAAATTAGGAAGGTGCAATTAATCTAGCAGTGAAATTTCTTTACAATGGAGTAATACTAACATTCTAAGAGAATAAGCAGGCTCTTGGCTACAAAGGTTCTGATGTGATAAAAGTGGAAAATCCATGCCTGGGCTACATGATGTGACCATGTTATACCCTCTGATACAGAAATATTTAAAGGGATGTAGAAGAGACAGTCCAGTGAGAACACCAAGGTATAATTTGTCAGTTTCCTTAACCAATGAGTTGGTGCTTCTTTTTTTGAAAAGCCCCTTGATTTATTAGAGTCATAAAATCTTATTTGGCTTTGAGAACAGAACAGCAATTTCGTTCCCCGGTTCCCTAAGTAACGGGGAAATGATAGAAAACTGTATTGTCACAAGGAGGGACTATTTACTAGCAGCAGTGGTTTGCTCTGCCACAAGCAGGTACTTTGATACACACTCATTCACTTGTGTTACCTGAGTGTTCCACACAACAGGCATATCATGTGTGAAAAAGAAATGAGTGTCTTTAACACTGGTGTTCATGCACCAGAATAATTCTGATTGGACTTTCTAACACTTGTATTTGGGTGTCTCAGCGATGTGTCTCTGTCGCACTTGGCATGTTTTCTCCAGTTGTCCCTAGTGTGAAAGTTGTTGTTGTGATATACATTGCTTTGTTTAAAGGAGCCACTCAGAAGGTGTGGGAAACCCAAGCATCTACCCTTGTTGAAATGCCCTTGATCACTTACTTCGCGGGTTTAACCAGAAAGGCCTGGGAGACGAGCAACATGCTGGCTCCCAAGTGTAATTCTGAATGCTTGTGAAGTTGAAAAGCTCTCTCCTGTAAAGCTTAGTGCTAGGGCTGGGGGGACCGTCAAGAGAGATCATGTTGTGCTGCCAAAACAGGGGATTGAAGTTTTGTTTCCAAGCTGGCAAAGGGCAGTTTGATTAATTCCATTTGGATACAAGTTAAAGGCATTCATGAGCAAACAGTAGCAAGTGTAGCCTAGGGCCATGAGGAGTAGAATCCATCAACAGGTTTCCAGCTGAATAATTGTCATGGAATATTGTCATGGAAAATTACAGCTAGCTTTTTCATACTTTCTGTTTGATGGGTGAACCTTTTAGCTTTTGTTCTGCTTTTAAATGCCTGTGAGGGGGCAGAAGTTTTGTGTCAGACTGTGCATATAGAAGCATCCCTGCTAACCTAGCCAGAGTTAAAGTATTTATAGTGGGTCCGATTGTGACTAATTTGTAACAGCTTGAGGTGTGTTAAGGAATAGTTTGTAGCACTGAGAAGCTGTGCATCAACTGGCAGCGATCTCCTTGGGTCTGTGCTTACTCACCTGGGTTCCTGATGGGTTCAGTTTGTGTGATGGGAAAGGCCTCTTTCTGTCTCAGACCCTGGAGGACCCCTGCTAGTTAGGGAAGGCAATATGAGGCCAGAAAGACAAATACTCCAAAACAGGGCAAGGCGGCTTCCCATAGTCCACAATTGATATCGGTGGTTTTTCAGAGGAAGCTATAATATTTTGTGTTCTGCTTGTAAAATTGAATGGCTGCGCCTTGCAAATGTATGCCATTTTCTAGAAATGTGAATATACACCATCTTTTGCTCCAGACAGTATAGAACGAGGCTATACATAGCAATATGGATTTATGGAAGGGTCTTTCATTGTTGAATGTTAAATGTATGGATTACACTTAGAATACAATGTCATGCCATGTGCCCTTTTGAAGTACAGGGTGTTATTTAGCACCATCTAGTGGCCAGTAGTGCTAGGTTTATATTTCTTTTTAAAGACCTTTATTCATTACCTGAAATCTGAAGCACACTGTTCTAGAAAGAAACCCCCGCTTAACCCACTGCGGTGTTTTTCCATGGAAGTGTGCCTAAGAAGAAGTCATTTATCAGAACTTGCATGAACACTGTCTAACATTCCATGCAATACCTGAATTCTCAATTATAATCTGATCCTGACAAACCAAGCAGGAAAAGCACTGCCTGGGGCACAAAGCGATGGCCTGTAAGTGCTCTGTGTGGCTTGCAGAGCCATGGAATGACCTGCGCACTTCACTCACCTCCGTCAGGGTCAGAATCAGGAAACAGAATTTGTATCTAGATTGGTGCCACAACAGGAGAGAGGGGCTTTAACCTCTTCCTTCTCTGATTCAGTTTGCTGTTTCTTCCCTATTAATAGTGCTGAGGAAAGGGTGGTTTGAATCCCACCCCCTGATCCCATAAGAGAAGGGAGGTTTAAACCTCCTCATTCTTGTGTACTAAGATGTGCATGTTTATGTGCAACCGCACAATCTGGCATTGTGCGTTGTCTACCTGTTCTAGGGTCACCCTCTCCATGAGCTACAGTTTACATGTAGCATATGCCAGGGAAGAAAAATGGAATGTGTTGTCATTTATACACACATGCAACTTTTCTACATATAGTGCTCAAAGAGGATCTGAAAATAACATCATAGTTGAAGTAGGAGTATCGTCAATCTGAAATTAAGATGAACAAGGGACAGAGGCTTTCTGAGCTTGAGGCATATAAGGCACCCATATTAAACCCCAACTCCAAATGTATTATTTCCCTACTACTAGCTTTCTAGTGGGTGTGTCCATGGATTCCACATTCTGGATTAAAAAGCTGGAATATGGAATACTTGGAAGGCACTGTTAACATGGGTGATGGTAAATGGCCTTTTTGCTCATTTTAAATCCATCTCTGAACTTTAAAACATGCTTTGAGAATTTTGGGTCAGATTATCTATTTGACAGATGAAAACGAGGAGGAGGAGGAAAAAGTAGCATCTTGTATAGTACAGGTGTTTCTTCAGTATTATTCTGAAAAATATTATGCAATATTATTCTGTTACCCAGGAGCACTAAAGCACAACAATAAATCTGGTGTCACCCATGACATGCTATGCATCCCTCTGTATACTTTCCAGTGGCTTTTTAAAAAGTGAATGTAGTGCTTTATAAATTTTTAGCAGTGCTTTACAGTCTTCCTCAACATTATTCCACAAATAGCATCCCTACTCCACCCCACCCCCCTCCAAGCATTCAGCTTTCAGTATCTTAAACTGGCCTGAAAAAGATAATTTAGCATCACTGTTACATGTCACACTATTGCAGACTTGGTGTTGGACAAGCCAAAAACACATCCACATAATGCCCTCCCCCATTTCATAAAAAGTACAATAAATAGCTAATTCATTGTTGTTATTAAAATACATTTAGAATTTGCTGCCTGAGATATATATAGAAATATAAGTGCTGCCCCATTAATCAGGATGCCATAGTCTGTTACACCCTTCATCAACTTGGTATCCTCCAGAAGTGTTGAATGACAACTTTCATAATCCCCAACTAGCCATAACTGGCTTTGGGATACTAGCTGTAGTAGTCTATATACATCTGGGGGCCAAAAGGCTGGGAAAAGTTGGTCTGCCAAAAGGCGTTTAATGGACTGATTAAATAGATTAATGAATTCAAGGTTTCAATTCTAATTATTTGCTTTAAAAAATGGAAGAATGTTTCCATACTTCGACATCCATTGATTGTACAGAATCCAAGCATGCAGCTTTGTTCTTTGGAGTTCTCTTGTAATAAAATAACGCCCTGTATATTGTAATTATGTAATAAAAGAGAGAATTAAAGGAAATATGTTTCCAAACATGGATCTGTGTGTTTCCCGATTCGTATCCCCAGGAGTTGCCCCAAGGTAATCACCTGCCTCACCTCCAGTTTTGGAGCATCAACAAGCCTCACATCCTTTCCTCTGTCACTTCAGATGTTATTACTAGGCAAGACAATTGAACAGACCTGTACTTATTTTGCTCCGAGGTGGTGGGCTTCAGCAAAGTGTGGAATAACTCAGGGAACCTGAGCTGAAAACGATTCACACTACGCTGCATTTAGCAGTGATGTGTCTTGCTTATTCAGGGTAGGGTAGATAGAGATGGGTTCTGAGAACATGGGTTTTAACCTGACAAATCTTTCGTGAAGTGTAGCTGAAAAGACCCTGAGGGCTACCTACCAATAATTTCTCCTTGATTTTCATCAGCTGCATGGTTATTCCCGATGCCTTTGGGTACTACACTTGTGTGCCCGAGTAGCAGCAGCGAGGATGTGTCACTGGCCGTGCAAGTCCATGCTTAAAAATTGCATCCTGCTTGGTCCATCCATGAGAGATGTACTTGCTTGTAGGTAAAAGACCAGACAAACAAGATAGATAGATATAATTTTAAAATCCTATGGAAATGTCAAAACTCTGAACTTCAGACCTGTTGGCATTCTGGTGAGGGATGTGGGGAGTGGATAGAAAAGATGTTGTTTTAAAGGCCACTATTGCAGTGTTCTGTTAATGGCACTTCCATCTGTTCTGTCAGCGTCCAGAGCAAGGGCAGCTGACTAGCAGGGTAAAGGCACTGGGACCCGGGCAGGCAGAGCGTAGCGAGAGCAAGTCCAGAACACAGTCCAAGGTCAAGCCGATATACTAGCCAAGGTCCCTAG